CTCTATACAGATGCTTGCAACTCCTGTAGCATTTTCCTGAAGATAGAAAGGAGCACTAGGAATCATGGGAAGATCCTTGAAAATAGGAAAGCTTTTTTGCTGATCTTCTTACCCCACCCCTGTTGAGATAAGTCACATATGGTTATAACCTATCTACCCTTGATAATCAACTAACATAAGTCAGTTTGTATCCTGGTTATTGCACTGCCATTCTGAATCATACCCCCTCCTTGAAACACCAGACCTGAAAATGGTGCTTCCTCTAGTGAAGTCAAATGACTGGACCTCTCCAGTTGTACTCTTCAGTGATAGGACTCTGGAAAGGGCTTTCTGTAAGTGGCACCATTTACTGACTTGACATGAGCAAATTATAGCTTCCTAGCAGTTTTCAACCTTGCCAGGAAAAATCAGGTTATTATGAAATACAGTGGGTCTGGCCCACGAAAGCTCATCCCCTAATAAACCATCTTGTTAGTCTTTAAAGTGCTACATAGTCCTGTCTTTTGTTTCATACTTATAATCAGGCAGCTTAAGAATTATATAACTTGTTCAGTTCTCCAAGTGCAAGAGCAAGTCATACAAGGGCCTAGACTGCAAGAAAGGGGGGTTTCAAGATGGTATTACTGAACATGTAGTGTGAGGTGCCCCCATTGATGATCTGTCAGCATGACTGGCTTTGCTGTGCATTTATGTAGCACCATAGCCACAATAAATCTTCCTGTCAAAAGTCTTGCCTGCATTGATCAGGTATCAGATATTGTATAACAAGGCTTTTGACTGACTGCCTGGCTAAGGAATACTGTAAGGAATGTTGGCTTGAAGATGAAAATAGCTTTTGACTGAGGCTTTTATTTTCTCCTTACCAGCTGCTGGCCAGCATGTTACTTTCACTTGTGATTTATTTCCGTCCTATGTCCAAATGAAAAAGGAAATACCAAACTTCAGCATGCTACTTTTAACTGTCAGTCCAATAGAGATACTGTGGTTTATCATATCAACTCTCATTCCTACCAGTGTGAGGATTTTTTTCTACCAGAAAAGCATGGAAAAACTACAAGCATCTTTGATGCGTAGTGAAGTGAAAGGGACATGGGGTAAAACACGCCTCCAGGGCTGCTCCATACACTCTGCATGTTACAGCACAAAAGCTGCAAAGGAAGATAAGGAAGGAGCTAATGCAACACTAACTCCTATTTCCACTTGTGCCTTTGTAAATGTGGTGCAACTCAACTAATGTCAGAGGAGTTATTCTGGATTTACACCATGTAGTTGAGATGAGAATTTGTCCTTAAGAGCTAGATTCATACTTCTGTAACAGGTTGAATGGATTCTCCTGTTGTCCTATCCTGCTGGCAAGTACTGGATCCAGGCAGGGAGCTGCTGGTTAATTACTACAGCTTAGACTTCCCTAGTCCAGCACCCTCTGGACCTGAGCTGTCTTGGACCAGGGAGTTTGCCGATCAGGAGATGTCAATGCTCTCCTGCTGGCTGCCCTGCTGCTGTCTCCTCTCCCTGGACTCCCTGCCCTGCAGCTGCCATGCTAAAGCTGACCTGGCTGAGGCTTCCAACCCTGCTGCCCGCTGGTTATGCCAGGAGTTCTCAGGGGTTCCCAGCCAGCACCACGTGGGGTTCACTGGGGTTCGTCAGCCCCAGACCACCCAGCCACCCCTGGCCCCGGTACCACTGGGGATTCCTCTGCTGGGGCTGGGACTTCCAGGAGAGAGACTGGGACTGGGTGATGGGAGAGGAATCGCTTGAAGATTCCCTGTTCTGTTCATTCCCTCTGGGGCATCTGGCATTGGCCACTGTTGGAAGATGCCCCAGAGGGAATGAACAGAACAGGGAATCTTCAAGCGATTCCTCTCCCATCACCCAGTCCCAGTCTCTGACAGAGGCTAGGGACACCATTCTGCCCATCCTGGCTAATAGCCACTGATAGACCTAACTTCCATAAATTTATGTAGTTCTTTCTTGAACCCTGTTAAAGGCCTGGTCTTCACAACCTCCGCTGGCAAGGCCGACCGTGTGCTGTGAGAAGAAAAACTTCCTTTTGTTTGTTTTAAACCTACTACCTATGGATTTCATTTGGTGACCCCTAGTTCTTATGTTATAGGAACAAGTAAATAACTTTTCCTTCTTCACTTTTTCCACACCAGTCATTTTATAGACCTCTATCATATCCTTAGTCTCCTCTTTTCTAAGCTGAAGAGTCCCAGTCTTTTTTAATCTCTCTTCATATGGGACCCGTTCCAAACCCCTAATCATTTTTGTTGCCCTTTTCTGAACCTTTTCCATCTTTTTTGAGATGAGGTGACCACATCTGTACAGAGCTGTACGCATTCCACATCTGTACACATCGCACCAAGAACATGGTCTATTGCTGCATTTTATGTGTTTCCTGCTTGCCACACTTAAGCCCAGAGCAGTAAGTTAAGGATGAAGTGGCAACAAGGAAATTAATTTACAATTATTGTGGTTTTTTTAAATTTAATTTTATAAACTCTTGTTAGTCCTATAATCTGAATACCCCCTGCCATGTGGAAATTTTGGTAGGTACTAATAGAAACTATTATAAGATTAGAGCTTTACTTTTTCCGCATAGAAATAAAACATTTATTTTAGACTGCTTTCTCAGTCTTCAGAGCATACAACACTGTCATATAATGGCATCAAATTGGACATAACTAAGAACTTGTAGCAAGGTTTCCAAATTGCTGTGCTTTAGTGTAGAATTACCAATAGATAACAACTGATGTGTGTACAACAGCCTCTCAGTCATATCACTTGGACATAAAAGTCTTTGTGGTTGAAAATATAATCAACTAAGCCATATAATAAAATTATGATAACCAGTGAAGGAAAATACTGTTCTCATAATTTTGGACTGTACCCTTACTGATGTTGCACAAAGTCAATTTATAAATCACTGCTTACAAATCTAATATAGTTTAAAAAAAATCGATCACAAACATACACTCTGGCCTCAGGGCACAACAATAATGTACTTTGCTATATGACAGGGAATCTTGGCATGGGAACAGAGGTTGGCTTCTGGGATGAGAGACAATATAAACCAGTGCACATTATAGCCAGGAAGTTCTTATCCTCTGGGGACAAGTACACTGAATGTCCTGTAGTACCTAGGGCTTTGGAGCCCCCAATTTAGAATATAATATGTTCCAGAATAGGGTAGCCACACTATAATTCACATCACAGTAGTGTGGAACATTATGCTGTAGACTTGGAGCCATATTTTTAACATGCTCTCAGCAAAGCAAAGTCCCTAGATTTGCAGTACTTAAAGCAAGAATTCAGGTATCTAAATCTGTGGAGGTGTAATTCTTCACTATGCTGAACCAAGCTCATTACAACCAAATATAAGGAGCCAACATTGGGGGATGTATTGCAAATACTGCAAGTTACTTGAACATGACATGACATATGTACTATATGCATGCACTGTTTACCATATATGAGTTAGATCATGGGCTCGACACATGCCCAACATATGGGGTGAGGAGAAGCTATACTTAGTACCCTGCAAATCTGCAGATATCTGCAGCCATGGATGTGGATATGCACAGATCATTTTTGCAGATGCATGTACCATTTTAGTATCCACGCAGGGCTCTAGCTGTACTGTGTTAGCAGCAACCAGTGGACAGAACTACACCTCCATTTCCGCTATGTTCCAGACCAGCAAATAGTAATTTGTTACTAATCTACTGCCTTCCATTATGTGATGAATCACCTGTGCTAGCACATTTAAGGGTGGAGTCAAAGCTCTCCCCGTACCTCCTTAGAATGAGCACACAGCTCTCATTTATCCCTGTCTGCTCAGAGCCGTTGACACAAGATAAGAATGTAAGTAAGGGGAAGCAATCTTAGTCCCTTTTATACCCTTCACAGTCCAGCCTTTAACACTGAAACAAAAGTAAAAACCCTAGGATAATATGGTAAGGGAACGTCACTGTGAAACTGTAAAGCTATTGATAAATGTAAACCTGTACAGATGAGCAAGCTTAATGACTCCACTTTGCATTCATGAAATGGAGCTAGGAAAAGTACTAATTAGGACATTAATTGCAATTTTTTCAAAACTCAAATTAATGAACCTGTGCTCAATTGCAGCAGATTTCGTCTGAATATAACTAGTAAGATAAAACATGATTTAATATTTGTAGACTCCAGCCAGTTCAGAGACTAGGGTCCAATACTGAAAACCTGTGACACAATACAGTTCTCAAGTCTGCTTTAATATTTGTAGACTCCAGCCAGTTCATAGACTAGTCCAATACTGGAAACCTGTGACACAAGACAGTTCTCAAGTCTGTCACCTTCTCTCACCTTGAATGGTTCCTTACCTTTCTGAAATTCCAAATGAATTGAGTTGGTTGCCTGTGGAATGAGGAGGCAAGTCTATACTAGGAAATTATTTCAAAATAACTTAAATTCAAAATAATAATTCCTGAAATAACAAACTCAAAATACTGTGGCCCCACTACAGGGAAACCTTGAAATAAGCCTGAGGCAGGTTCTGTTACTGTGGACGCGCTACCTTGACTTAGAGCCCTAGGAAGCACCGGGGAGTAATTACTTCAAATTACTCTGGGGACCAGTTATTTCAAAATAGCAGCAGCAGAGCATCCCCCCACACACTATTTTGAATTAACTATTTTGAAATAAGTGTTATTCCCCAAGGAAAGCAGGGGTACAGATTTTGAAATAAGCAGCCTACTATTTCAAAATAACGGGTTTTGTAGTGTGAACGCTCTGCTGCTTCTTTCGAAATAACTCCATAGCGTAGACCAAGGCTGGGAGAGCTCAAGGTCACAGAGGACCACAGAGTCAGAGTCTTAGTGTTTAAAAAGTTCAACCCAGATGTTTTCTGCAAAAGTCCTGGTGCCTCCAGCTAGGACCAGGTACATGATTTATCAGAAATAGCACTTAGCACATGGATGAGGCTAATGTTACCAAAGATGAGTGGAATTTGAACTTACAGGAAGAGTGGATACTTGGAAAGCTCTTTCTGCCTTCGGAAACCAAATCTGGATCACCTGTGCAGTGCATTTCAGGGTTCATTAATCCATCTGGAAAGCAGCGGTAAAAGAAATCGGGGCGAGGTCTACAAAAAACACCATGGACATTTGAAATATAAGAGGTGTTGTTATAAATGAACCTCAAAGTGATTATTAAATATACTGACTATCCCATAGAGAGTTAATTTCCTTCTTCTTACCCTGTGTGTGGTAGCAATAGTTATGTCTCTTTATTCCTTTCCTTTGGCCAAACTTTTTCACACATACATGCTGTAGGAAAACTTCCAGGAGAGTGTGTTAGCAGCCTTTGGATGGTAGCATCTCTGCATTCCAACAGGCTCATTCCTGATGGACATACATGGGTTTGATCTTGAAAAAGGATGTGCAGGGTGATTCCTCGCATAATCCAGCCAACTTGCATATCGTACTCAGTGATCAAGCGCACTATCCAACATAGCAATAACTACCACACATGCTCCAAAAGGTTGCACGGGCCTTGTTGACTCTCTGCCCAGTAGCACCCTTACCAGTTACTGTAAGAGGTTAAACTAAACCTGATGGTTAGACTAAAGGACCGGGAACAAGGAACTACAGAATTCTAATCCCAACCCAGAGGTCCAGATCATCAGTGGTATTTAGGAACGAACTCCCATTTACTTCAACAGGAGTTAGGCACCTACCTACCTATGGAGGATCTGGCTTGACTCCACGGACAAGTCCATTAACTTCTCTGCATTGGTTTGACTATGTGTACAATCAAGCTAATGATACTTACCCATCTCCCAGGGCTCCTGTAAGGATCTGTTAGCTATGTGTCTAATACACTTTTAAAATGAAAAGTGCTAAGTATTATGACAGACAACAGAGCAGTGTTGGGGTGGAGCAGGGTATGTCAAAATACAAGCAGGGATGGTCAGCATGCTGCACTCCTGAAAAATATGAGACCATTGGGAGTCCATTGGTTACCACACTCCTGGTCTTGGTAATTTGGATGGAGGAGCTCCTGGACAGTAAAAATGCATTACATGAAATGCAGAGCCAATAACTGATTTCAGTTTAGTGGTGCTAGTGGGAGCTGGCAAGTAACCATTGCAACTATTCCCCTTATTTATCACCAGGGAAATCTACCGATTTCAATTTACACCTTTTCTATAACCTTGTCTTGCTTGCCTGAATCTTCAGACTAGTCCACCTGCCACACAAATTCCAAAAGTTGACAGCAAAATATCCTACAACAGTCAGATGTCACATAATAAATATATGCACCAACCTTTACAGGGGTGAGAGCAGGGTAACAGGAATCTCCGCTAATCCAGAGTGTTCTGGAGCCATGCTTAGTCTTTGTATTAAAAGGATTATAGATTGTCAACTCTATCTTAATTTCTTTGACAATTTAAGCCATCACTAAAAACATGAGAAGACTTACCTCCCCACTATTAATTTAATAGTATTTGTGCAGACTCCATTCAGAGCTAGAGCCAAGGAAACAGCTAAAAAACAAAAAGAATGAACAGAACAATCAAAACCTAGGCAACCATTTATAAACTCTAGAGTTACAGCACTTGATTTATGAACTGAAACTTGTAACAGATTGAAATTGGATTCTTCGGTACAGTGGAAATATTTTAATAACATTGTTTCTTTTATTACTGTGGCTGAATGTAAACTGCAGAACAGAGTAATAAGCCTAGTCTGATTGGGTCGTGCCGAAGGAAAAAGGGTACAACATATTTTGCAAAAAATTAATAAAAACATGACTATTTTCCAACCAGTGTCAACATGATGATAATAATAATATTGTCAACATAATCATAAGAATAAATTAATGAGCAACTTTCTAATAAAATGTCATTCCATCATGGTATGAAAATATTGTACACTTTATTTAAGTAAAAGTTCACCAGTGTCTGCAAAGGACCTGATCTACTTCCCCCCGAAGCCTTTTCATTGACTTTATCAGACTCAAGTTCCTTTCTGTTTGGATTTAAATTGCTTCCCTGCTGCAATCTATGTTATAATTTTATACATGCATGTTAGGGATGCCAACGTGTAGTTGACTAAACAATTAACCTATAAGCCTAGGCTAATCAGCTACATGCACCACCTCCCGTTCCCTCCGCTGCCTTTGTATCGGAAGCAGCAGGATGGGGGGGGCAAGAGTCAGTGCATGTGAGCCCATGACCATCGGATCCCACGGATCCTCTTGCTCCCCCCACCATGCTGCTGCCTCTCTATCAGAGGCAATGGGTGGGGGGCAGAGGAGGCTGCCACAGAGCCCAGACTTGTCGCAGACAGAGGCTGTTCCTTGGCATGCTAGTGCAGCCTCTGTCTGCAGATAGGTCAGGTCCTCCCGTGACAGGGGCTCCTCCATGGGATGCTGGCACAGCTCCTTTCGATGGGCAGCTTGGGCTCCCCACAGACAGGAGCTGCTGTTGCCCTACAATGCTACTTCTATATGGGTATGTCTACACTACCACCCTAGCTCTTACTAGGGTGGTTAATGTAGGCAACCAGAGTTGCAAATGAAGCCCGGGATTTGAATTTCCCGGGCTTCATTTGCATATTGCCAGGCGCCACCATTTTTAAATGTCCGCTAGTTTGGACTCCGTGCCCGCGGCTACACGCGGCACGAACTAGGTAGTTCGGATTAGGCTTCCTATTCCGAAATACCGGTACACCTCATTCCACGAGGAGTAACGGTAGTTCAGAATAGGAAGCCTAATCCGAAGTACCTAGTTCGTGCCGCATGTAGCCAAGGGCACGGAGTCCAAACTAGCGGACATTTAAAAATGGTGGTGCCCGGCAATATGCAAATGAAGCCCAGGAAATTCAAATCCCGGGCTTCATTTGCAACTCCCGTTGCCTACATTAACCACCCTAGTTCGAACTAGGGTGGTAGTGTAGACATACCCTATGAGAGGCAGCAGCGTGCGGTGGTCTGCAGGATATGGTCTGCGAAGGGAGACAGTTTAAAAACCAGCTCCCCATGCAGACCGGCTCCCACCTGCCACCCCTCACTGCTGCTTGTGAGAGACAGACAGCAGTGCGGTATGGTGGGGGCTCCCTAGAAGTGGAGTGAGGAGCACACTGGATGCTGATGCTGGGGACTATCAAATAGTCATGTAACCACTAAAATTTGATGCAGTTACACAATTATTCAGTTAATCAACATCTAACATTCCTAATGCATGTTATATATGCTAGAATGGTTATAATGCAAGAACCATGGCATTCTATTTCTTCTGGGCAATCTTATCAGGCAGATTACTTATTTTTGGAGAACAATCAAGGCAATGTGATGTATTGTTATGGCTCCTGCATCAGGCTATTATGTATAAACTGGAATGCAGAGGAAGGACTTGAAGTGACAAGCCCCATCTAGATGTGACTAAAACTAGAAGATTGAGAAGTCAGGCTATTGTGTCACTGGATCGCTATTTCACTGGCACTTATCATTCTGTAGCCACAATGTCCTTCCCTGATTGCTCCGTACATCATAAGATACGGTAGGGGGACATACCAACTAAGGGAGGCCATGTGACCTCTGCACATGGCCCCCACATGACTCCTCCCAGCCTCCAGCTCTTTCCTTCTACATCACAAGTTACCTAAGGGGAAGGGAGAAGTGGGGGCCGTACGGAGGAGCTGGGGGCAGTTCCACTCCTTACCTGCCCGTCCATGGAGCTATTAGAGCTACAGGGCTGGGTAGGGTGAGGCTAGGAGTTCTGCTCCTTCCCCTGCTGGGAGGGGAATGGGAAAAGGAGCAGACCTGCGGACGCTGCTTCCCTCCAACCTGTACACGGAGCCAGAGCCAGGTGGAGTGGCTGGGGACGGGGCTGGGAGTTCTACTCCTTTTCCCGCTGCCCGCCTCACTGGTGTAAGTGGCAGTAGTACTAAGCCCTGGATTTAGTTAACATATATGTTACTGGCTATACAGAAGGCTAGGCAGTGGATCAGAACCAGTATCTTCAAACATTTTCCCTAGAGAATCAGAGTTCCAAAAGAAAATAATAGTTATAGAATAACCATTTCTTATTCTTTCAGGGCAGAGGGCAATGGGACAGAGCTTCATCTGATGAAAATCAGCATAGGATCATCATGCCGGCTGAAGATCACTCCTACTAATATTTTGAGTCTGAATTTTCTTTTTGAATATAACCAGCCCCTGAATTTATGCAAATATTGAACATTGGGCTACTTTGCAAAATATTAAAAATATGGTTTCTTGTGTGACTGGACTTTTTTATGATTTGGGCTTTATGGGGCTAATAGTTTTGGCAGTCCAAAATCTCTCACAAAAATAGAGGATACTAATCAAATATCCCTGATCCATGGAGAGTGAATAAATCATGGAGACAGATCCAGAGCTCCTTTGCTTTTGAAATGAGAGACATAGAATGAAAACCAGCACCATGACTATGTTTTATATGTATAAATGCATGCTCCCCCGCCTACTAAATACATTTTCATCAATAAAACATTGCTTATGATAAATTTAACAGCCAACTGCAAAGATTGGCAGCATCAAAAACCAATCCCCATAATCTTTTCTCCAGCTGGTATAGCATCTGAATAGATGAATAACTCACAGAGAATTCCACTCTTTCAAAAAATTGATTTAGCATTAATACTCTCTACATCCAGTCTTGCACAGGCAAAAGTCTTGGCAAATAGATGGGTGTCTGTTGATTTTCAGCTCATGGGCTAACTCAAGTCCTGCTTCACCAGCCAAAGGGGAGAGTTCCAGTCATGGATTCCTCACTACAAATGCCCTGCCACTAGGTTCCAAATATTTGAAATCATAATGCCTTGGCAAAAGTTCCTTGGCTGACCACAGACATTGGCAGGGGTGAAGTGTACAGAATCAATGTGAAGGTCCATTGTTGCAGGCAATAAGGATCCCAACCACAGACAGCTTTAAAAATTAACACCCTTGCCTTAAACAGCACTGGAAATAAACAGGAATCCAATGTGGCTTAGAAAATACAGGAGCATCTGTCACATATTCTAGCCAATCAGCATTAGAAAGATTTCAGCTGTGTTTCATTACCTTACCCAAGGCCCAGAATCTGATTTGATCAGTAGAATATAAAAATAAGTCATGGAACTCACAGCCTTAGAAGTGTATGCAAAAGAGAGATTTTTTTAAAGCTTTTCTTGAATTCAATGGAACCAGGATTTCACTCACAGATTTTTCAAGGCTTGGAATACTAATTAGAACAATCACTGGTAGAAACTCTTATGCCCTTGCCATTTTGAAGTTCAATATGCTTTACCTAAGAAAGCTTCTTTAATTTCAGTCTTGTCTGTCCGCCGGATTATTTTCACCACAAAAATGACAGCCAGTGGCGTCAGGAATGAAATTGCCTGGGAGAGATAACAAATAATCATGTATGACAGCAACTCCCCACAGATTAATAATTAGTTCCAGTTAGCGCCATTTAGACTGGACTTCTGAATAATCTTTATCAAACTTCTGACCTAGAGCAAAGTAGGATGATTCATATCTGTAACTAGAAGACAATGAATATACTTAAAAACTGTAACTTCATTGTGGGTTATAATTGATTTGTAATTACTTGGAACTACATTTAAAGTGTCAGCTTTGTAAATGAAAAAGAACCGTCCATAAAGTTCATGACTTGGTATTGCCAACAACTACATCTCTTTGTTTATCGAAGTGAAAGAAAGTTCTTCACCTTTCCCATCTATTAGGGAACACATACGTCACCCATAACAATGTACTGTTCAATACAATAAAACATGTCAAGTTGTAGACGCTGAGCCTGCAAACAAAGAAGCAAGTTGGTAACTTTATGTATTGAACAAAGGTGCCCATGTGCTTTAAGTGTCTGTGGGATCCAGACCATATTTTTGCAAATTAGACACTAGAAAATAGTATTGGACCTGATTCTGCCACCTTTGTGTTATGAAAAAATCTCAGTACGTAGGCAGTCCCACTGAATCTAATTTTATCAGTGAGGCTATTCACAGAGAAAGCTACTACTCAGTGTGACAAAGAATGTCAGATGGTACATTATTGGTACTGTTTTTCATGCAGGCTAGTCACAATTAACACCCTTGGTGAACAACTCACTATATATATAGATAGATAGATTGTGCAGAAGCGTAAAAAGAATGAACTATTTGACATATGTAACTGGCAGTACAGTACAAAAGCAAACAGCCTAGTTACTATTTTGCTGATCCAATATTTTCCTCTGTACAGATTCCTGACAGAAAAATATTTCTAATTGAACTCATTTGCTTCATGTACCTAAAAACGTCCTTTTTTTGGCTTTCATGAACAACAGGATTATGGGGCACTTTACAGGCTAGGGATGAAATGCTTGGGCTCATGGCTGTGAAACATACAATCGGTCACATATCCGATCCTACCTATCACAAATCTCCCCAAATCCACTAGTGTTGGAATCTGGCTGCCATTCTTTACTACTGCTCATTCACTGCACTGTAAGAAGAGGGTCTACAAACATGGCAATTACTTCAGAGTTGAGACAGGGCTCAGATTTAAAAACCTCATATTTATCCCTCGATTCTCTTGTGTTGAATAGTGCTTTTCTTCACAAGAAAACTCATTCACTTCAACAGGACCACTTGAGAAGCAAGGCACTATTCAGTGGTCTCATCTACACTAGACCAGGTAGGCCAAGTTAAGGTACGCCATGGATTCAGTTTACCTTAAGCCGAACTGCCGCAGCATCAACAGTGTTAGGAGTACCGGATGCTGGTGGGGGCTGCCCTCAGTGTTCGATCTGAGAGTCTACACTAGAAGATTGACCTCCAGAAGGTAGCGTAGACATGCCCAGTGTCATTAAGAGTAGAAGAATCCACAACAAACTTTTTAAAAGTTTGGGGGAGCTTAAATTTTTTCTTAATATTTTTCTCAAATCTGCAAAAGTGCCATGCTTGCAGCAAAACATCCAAAAGAAGCACCAGAGTGCCCAGAGGTGGCTCTGGCTCCATGGTGCCCCGTTCTGTGGTGTCCCGAGTGAGGGCAACCAAGCAGGCAAAGAGAAAAATGCTTTGCTGTCCCTCATTGAGGTAGGCAAGCAAGCAGGGAAAGCTGAAAACCGTTTGTCCGGGGGGTCCTTTTAAGCACAAGCCTCAGATAGCCTCAGACAGCAGCCACACAAAGCAACTACTGACCTGATGCCCTGCCAGAACCGGTTTCAGCTAGCCTTAAATGCGATTCAGTGTCCAATCAGTGTGGATGTGCTATTTCGATTTAGCAAAAAGCTATTTCAAATTGCATTTTGTGTATAGACTCGTTATTTCAAAATAACATTTCCAATTAACTATTTCTAATTAAGATATTTTGAAATAACGCTGTAGTGTAGACATACACTTACACCTTGAGTTGTCCCTTTTAAATTCAAGATGGAGAAATGGATGTAGACTGTGACAAGAGGACTCAATGTCCTAGATCACCCTTGTGAAGAAAAAAGAAGGAATTGCTATGCTAAGAACCAATATTAAGCTCTTTTAAATGATCAGAGGTAGCTGTATGAAAGTGCAAAGTTTCATATATCCTGCAGTAGATTCCACTCTCTCTTACATCCATGCAACCCCGTTGACTTGAGTGTAACACTGAGGGAAGGGGATGGCTCCTTATTTTTCCAGTTTATTAAGCATGCCATCAATTTCTGTGCAAGGCATCTTTCATTCCAGCTGAATCTCATACGAGGATTGGTGGCAGATTACTGATACCAGATTAAGAATGGACTTTATTACAGATGCCCTAGGAGCACAAATATTTCCATCTTGCTCTGAAAACAGAAATTAAACCCTATCGTCAGAGACAGTGAAAAAATGGTTAGGGTAAAATATTAAGTTATTGTTATTATTATTATTATTATTATTATTAATAATAATAACAACAACAAAGAAGAAGGATTCTCAACAACAGCAAAACAATCTTCCCTTACTGAAGAATATGTCAAACAAGAATACGTCAATCTGCCTCATTGACAGATTTGTAGCTTACAGAGATGAAACAAAATAGATAGAAATCTTCTGAACAGGCAGGAGCAGCAGAAGACAATAGAGGATAGAAGTAAAGCAGAAACTACATTAAAATATTGCACAATACATCTGGTAACACTACAGAGTTTCACATATTTTTACCAAACTTGATGGATTTATGATGGAGATTCAGAATTCTTCACATCTGCAATGCATTGTGTTGACTGTTATTGCTCATTTAAAAACATCAATTGGTAACCCTCTGCTCTGGGTGTCCTGAAATCTCTGACTGCCATAAATTGGCAATGGTGACAGGAGATGGATCATTTGATAATTACTCCATTCTTTTCATTCCCTCTCAAGCATCTGGCATCAGCCACTGTTGGAAAACAGGATAATGGTGATGGACTGCCCTGGTATGGCCATTGTTATATTAGGAGGTCAATATGTATAAACTGAGCCTGGCTTGCAATAGATTCTCTTTTTCTTCTGCAATAGAGCCAGGCAGGGCTTACATCTATAATATATATCACAAGGGTCTAGCTAATAACATCCCCTTCATGATTCTGTCACATTTTCTTTTCCTACAGTAAAATCTTCTAATATTGCTTTGATGGGTGAGACACCAGTAAAAGTCTAGCACATTCATTATTTATCTTGGCAGCTTAAAGATAAATGGAGGTTGCACAAATCCCCCAGAAAGCGCTGGTGGTTGTCTCTGATTACTTCAATAAAGACCACTGGCACACAAGATTTAATTTGTGTGCTGAAAAATACTGATTTTCACTTAGAAGCTGTTTTATTGCTTAACAATGTTTTTTAATGGCTTTAGGGCAGTGTTTCTCAAAGTGGGCCGTGGGCCATGCTGCTTCTCATGGCTGGAAATAGTGAACCGGAGCTAAGGGAAGCCATGAGGCTCCATGGCTGAAGAGCCTTTTATAAACAAACCGGAGTGGCCTGTTAGCAGCTCTCTCAGGGTATGTCTATACTACATGGCTCCATCAACGGAGCCAAGTAGATGAGCTTTGCAGATATAGCAAAATGAAGCGGCAATTTAAATAATCGCCACTTCATTTACATCCAAATGGCTGCCGCGCTGTGCTAATCAGCTGTTTGTCGGCTCAGCGCGGCAGTCTGGACACTCGGCAGTCGACATCAAAAGCCTTTGTCGACCGCCCCGTTATGCCTTGTGGGATAACTCACTCTCCCGCTGCCTTGCCTCCTCCTGCAGCTGAGCCGCACTCCAAGAGTCCCGCAGCCCCAGCCATGCTGCGTGGCTTGCCGACGGCTGCCTTCCGCCGCCCTGCCTCTCTTCGTGGCCTGGGGAAGAGGGGTCGCAAGTGAAAAAATGAATCCAGATGCGACCCCCCTCTAAGTTGCTCGTGATCCTCCTGGGGGTCACAACCCATAGTTTGAGAAATGCTGTGTTAAGGATGAAATGTTCCATCCTTACATCCCTGCTATTAACCACCCACTGGATGTCTCTTATGACATTTAATGCCTTATTTTACCTGCTTCCCCAATGGCCATCTGACTTTTAATGCAATTTCCACACTGATGAAGTCCCATGCAGAATTATTTACGACTGCACTAACAACTTATCTGCTATATGCCCAAAGCAAATTTTGCACAGCATTCAGTCACCCTTTCACACTGAGGGCATGTCTACACTAGATTATTTCAAATTTACTACATTTGACTTCGGGGCACTTGATTTTACAAATTCAAGCTTCTGTGTCCTCACTGCGGGGAAGAATCAAATGTAGTCCGTTAACATGGACGTCCTGCCTCAGACTCAGAGCCCCAGGAAGTACTCTAGAGAGCTGAAGAAGGCCTCCTGGAGGCCAATTAGTTAGAATTAGTAGCACTGGATCATCCACACTAATGTTATTTTGAATTTACAAGTTTGGGAATATCATTATTCCCCATGAAAAGCAGGACTACAGAGTTTGAATTTTGCAGCCCCTTATTTCAAAATAATGGGCTTGGTAGTGTGGGCACATAACGGACAAAATCAACCTGGGGGAGCCTATTTCGGACTAAGGTCCTACTGTAGACCAGGCCTGAGAGTCGTACTTTACTCTGCTGATTTTAGCAAGACTGTTCATGAAGCAGGATACTACTCGGTGTGAGTAAAGTCAGCAGAATTAGGCTCCTGGCTACATTAACTTCTATCTTTTTATGCTCTTCAAAATTTTCATTTAACCTGGAAAACAAACATTTTTCACTCTATCGTAATTAGAAAATGCTTCATCAGGCTTCCTCCTAACTCAGTAATAACTGTAGCCTGGTCGATTAAACATTGTGGCCTTCCATTTCTGACTTTGGTCAGAATAGAATTATTGTCTTATAAATAAGAAACACACTCAACTTACCAGCTACACAACTAAAATATTTATTAACATTGGACAAGAGAGTTAATCTAAAGACAAAAATCATCCAGTTACATTTTTTGTTGTACCTACCTTCTGAATTAAAGTCAATGGCTTTAAGACAAAGACTCATAGGGAAACCCTGGCCCCAGGAAAGTCAGTAGAAAACTTCCTTTGATTTCAGGGAACCCAGGTTTTCCACTCTACATGCCGCACTCATTCTAGAGTTAATTCCACTCAAGTTAGGGGAGATTTAATAAGGCTGAATTCACTCGTACAATTATATCCCCTATCTTCTAAAAAATACTGCTGTGTATGTAAAGGCAATTGGTATGATGGGAGTATTCAGTAGCAGAGAATTAACTCAAACAAATGTAATCTCTCTCCACAGTAAGGCTGTGTCCAGACTCAGGGGTTTTTTCGGGAAAAGTAGCCTTTTTCCGAAAAAACTTCCCCTGCGTCCAGACTCAAGCCGCGTTCTTTCGAAATTAAATCGAAAGAACGCGGCTTTTCTTTCGATGGCGGTAAACCTCATTTCACGAGGAAGAACGCCTTCTTTCGAAAATTCCTCTTTCGAAAGAAGGCATTCTTCAATGTAAATAGGGCTTCTTCGAAAGAGAGCATCCAGACTCACTGGATGCTTTCTTTCGAAAAAGCAAGCCGCTTTTTCAAAAGTTCAACGTGCAGCCTAGTCAACGTGCAGTGTAAACACTCTCTTTCGAAAGAGGCTTGCAGTCTAGACATAGCCTAAGTGCTCAGAGCTAACATTGTAAAGGTATCTTGATATTAGTTGCTCCCACTAGCTTAAAACCTTCCTGCATGAGCATATGAACCCTCCTAGGCGTGGCAAGTTGAACAATAGCACTGTCTTGTCAGGTTAATGTGAGAATGCTTTAGAGTCTGATTCTGCTGTATAGTATGCACCCTCGTCTCCCACTGACCCCTTGACACTTCGCAGAAAACCAACCCAAAGGGGATATAAACGTGAGCAAATAACAATGTAGAGATTTGGGGCAACAGTGTCAAAGATGCCTAAGGGCATTAGGAAAGGTAGTTAGGTGTCCAGTATTGACCCAGACAGTCTGGTATTTTCACCTCCTGTCCAGTAAAAAAAATTCAGACACTACCAGACACTTAAAATGTCCAGTATTTTCTGTGGGTTTTTTTCCCTGTGAAAATACTGAACACCAGGCAACCCTACTACACACTCAGCAACTGGGCCCAGCCCCCAGATCCCCTGGACTGCCCACCAGCACGCCACCTCTCCTCCCCCTGGATGCCCCCACTTACCTGGTTCTGCAGGGGCTTGTCTTGTGGCTGGAACAGAAAAACAAGATGGCCGCTGGCAAAAAAGCCTCTTCTTGAAGAGGCCATGGAAGGGGCCATGCTGATTTTTTTTTTATTATTATTATTATTATTATTTTTTACTTTATAACTGCTGTCGGGGTCCTTTTTTTTCTCAACAACTTTGGTCTCCCCATTTTTTTTCCCCTCGACAGAATTTTTTCCCCAGTGGTTTCTTTTTGGGGGGGGTGTTCGGTATTTTTGGTTAAACCATCTAGCAACTGTAAAGGTAGTTAGTTGCCTAAAGATGCAGATAGATGCCTAGTGAGATTTTGAAAAGTGTTCAGACCCCTAATTTAGGAGTTGTTCTCTCATTCTTCACATCCATTAGTGAACTCTTGCTTAAATCGGAAACTGCACCATCAGTATTACAGAATTCAAAATATAGTACTTCTACCGCCACAGCTCTGCAAGATTTTTCATATTATGAATAAGTTCAGGGGAACATGGGTTTGAAATATCATAACCCTCTTACCAAATTAAAGTGTCTTTAGTTTACAGTTCATATCAACTATGAAATGATCCATTAAATCTCTGATACAGTACTTACAAACATGAGGCGTGTAGGTATGTTGTCTGATTGTACCAAAGGATTTTTATAGAGCCAGATCTCTTCTGGTTGGATAACTCTCTGGAATGGATCCAAAAACTCTGTAAAACTAAACACAACAATAGAAGATATTTTTTCATTTCAGAATGATGGGTATTAAAATAATAGATTGATGGAACCTCAACTCCAAAACTAAATTATTACACTATATCCATTAGTCATCCACACACATTACCATGTTACATCACTGTGATAGTTATATAACCTCAATACATACACACTCAGCAACATTGTTCAGAAAACTGCATGAACTGCACCTTTTTAAAGAGTATCTTAAACTGCACTCTAGGGAATAAATTGCCATTATTTTCTGCTCAAGGTACAACACTAGAACAAGACTGCAGGAGATGAAGGTGGTATGCGCAGAAAAAGAAATATGCAAATTAAGTCAAATAATTTTCAAGCCTCCAGATCCAAAGTTTGAGGTTCAAAAACTAGTAGTTCCATGGTCATTATGCAGATAGATAAAATGCAGAGAATGTCTTCCATTAATAGAAAGAACTGGATAATCTTTACCAAACAAGTTTTCCAAAAAACTGTTGTTCTCTAAAGAAAGACAGCTGGTGAGCTCTTTAGATTTGGAACACGGGTAAGTGACAGTATCCAGCCTTTGAAAATGGAAAGAGCTATGACTTAAATCTGAAGTCAAGCTAGCAAGTCCCATCTCTCTTGTTCAGATAACTTAGGTTGGATTGTCATTCAGCATCTGAAGTTTTTAATTAGAAAGAAATGTCCTCCAGAACTTTGGGGACAATCTGGAGATCTAGATTTATTAGTATCTCTTGAAAACATTGCAGGCTGAAATCAATCTTCCATGTCCTCTACTCATGCCATCTTGAGGCAAAAGAGAAATGGTAGAAAAGATTGCAGGCTGAAATCAATCTTCCATGTCCTCTGCTCATGCCATCTTGAGGCAAAAGTGAAATGGTAGAAAAGTAGAAAAATTCACAAGGAGGACAGGATGTTTATCTTAATATTGTAGAATGCAGATGGAGGCAATGGTATGACCCAACCATAAAGAGCAGGATTCAGAAGGGAAGAATGTAGGACCACATTTATAAAAAAATATTTAGGTACCCAGTCACATGTACAAAAGCGCTTAAGGATTTTACATTCCTAACTCAAATTGAAGTCAATGGAAATCTTGCTTAATCACTTCTGCAAGTCCCGTAAGGCATCTTTCTGCATACCTTTGTAAATCTGAGCCATAGGAACACAAGTCTCACTGAAACAAAATCTCATTTAAGTCTCAGAGCTCTTTCAGAAATTCACCTGAATCTTCTTGTCAATGTCATGACTAAGGCTATAAGAAACACCAAGGCAATAAAGGTGGCCAAATATATGCAAAAAAACCCCCAAACCACACCTTAATTTGGTGACTGGAAGCTCCTTCCTCCATTTTCTTCCCCACAACAAACATCCAAATTCGTTTAAAAGCTTGAATAGAAATCTAAACTATTTACAAATCTGTGACACACAATACATTTAGCTCCATTTACAGTAAGTCTGGGCCAAAACCCAAATGGAATAAAGCTGATATTTCAGAAAACCAGAAACTCTCTCATAGGGGCTGCAAACATTATGCCATACAAATGAATTATATCAATGATTTACGGATTCTGTTAGTTCTATTACAGTATCAAGGTTAATAAACCCAAAAATATTAAAAAGTCTAGAAATACTAAAACCTCTCTTTAGGTTAGTTCCTTAAATATCTGCATGGTCTAGAAAAAACAACACACTTTCTCATGTATCTGTGATATTTTGTCAGCTTTTAAAAGTCCTCAATTAAGAGAAATATTTCATGTAGATTCAATGGGAGATTTTCAAAGGAACAAATGGCAAACTCATGTTAAAACAAACAACCCTTCTATACTCACACTTTTCATACAATATTTTTCTTGCTCATTAGGTAGGGACTAATCAAGTCTGTTAAAATGCCAGGTGGCTGTTTGAGTGACACAGATTAAGAAGATGAAGATTTTTGTTGTAAACATGTTCTACAGTGCTAAAGATTTTACAGTGAATTTTCTGTTGCTATGTTTGAAAAGCTCCAACTACTCACGTGCTAAACAAGTATGCAGTCCTCTTTGAGAAATATGTGCTTTGCTAAGGTTAACAAGGTCTAACTGTGGAGATACAATGATGCTGCCCAGTGGCTGAGAAAAAAATTCAGAGAATTTGTCAGACCCTGTCTTCTTGTCTGTTGGATACAGACAGAGACACACACCATTAATCGAAGCTGAACAAATCATTGGGGTCCAGTTTGATACAAGTAGATTCAGGGTATAGCAACACTTGAGCTGGCAGGCAGACCCATGTAAATAGATCCATGCTAGTTCTGCTCAAGCTAGCACCTAAAAAAAACCCAGTGTGTCCATTGAACTGGACTAGACGCCTGAGAATATACCCAGGTGTTTAGGACTGCACTGTATTTCGACTAGCTAGCCCAAGTGGTTGCACATGCTACCAGAAACACAGCTAATTCTAAGGGCTAGTTCAAGCAAAGCTATCATGGGTACATCTATGCAAGGTAGGACTCGCCTAGCTCAAGCAAAGCTATCATGGGTACATCTATGCGAGCTAGGATTCGTACCTTCTAGCTCCAGTGAAAACATATCCTTTCCAGCTCTGCAGGAAATTCATACACCCATTGCACTGAGGATCTGGCCACAGTGATACATCAGCCAGGCCTAAGATGGATCACTGTAACTCACCGCATGTGGGACTGAATGTTGAAAATAAGGAAATGTACTACCTTTTGTAGACTGTTTGGCTGCCTCCTCAGCAGGCTGCTATGAGTATATGAGTGGCCAATTTGGAAAAGTACACTCCTTTCCGCTAGGCAGCTTTCAAAGTCCCGGACAAAATGCCTGAGAATTGGAGGTGAAGCATTCTCAGTTGAGGGCATTCAGTGTTGGAACTATATGGTCTGGAAAAGATCTATCAGTAATTCAGTCTGGTCATTCAAATTATTCTGGGAAAGTTGAAAGCCTCCAAGGACCACTGTTCTACTATATCTAAGGCATGTCACGTCTCTGATTGTAAAAGTGGAAAGGCAAGAATTTCTCCTCAGAGTGCTTATCCAGTCATACATACAGAGACAAGCACACCAGACAATTAAACAAAAGCTGCTGCTAGAATTTCAGCAAATGCATTTATTGTAATGTCACATCTTCAATGACACCTTCCCCAGTGTATTTAGCCATTTCAGTGACTCAAGGATCTGCTGTTGCAAGGCATTGAAGATAGACATGCCAAGGAACACCCTGAAGCACAGCCACACTTTGATATAGCTAAGCACACTTCCTCAAGCTCTGAAGACCAATGAATACATGGGGATTGATGCTTCAAGGAAGTGCTCCTGGCCTCTAATTGTACGAGCATCAGTGCACTTCTTGAAATGTGTCACATTAGACCACACATTTATATAAACACACATTTGAGTATATAAACAAATGACAGCACAATTAAATGTTTGGGGACTTTCAGCTTTTTTGTCTTCTGTCTCCTGTTTTCCTCTTAAAAGCAAAAGGTATTGCTTAAACATTTGTTTGAGAAGTTAAACAGATGTAAAAAAATATAAATTGATAGTTTGCATAGGAACCAGCACCCAACCACAATGCAAATACATATTAAGGCACTAAAGTTAACCCCTTAGAAAAGTAACACAAACTATTATATATGCAGAGGAGAACAAATTATAATAAATAACATTAACATATTTTGGCTCTAGTAGGAATCATAACTGAATTTTCTGATTGTTAAGCTTCCAAAATCCTTGTAATCTTCCAAGGAGAGATTTAATTTTGTCTCAGCATCTAACCAACAATTATAATTATATAATTAGTAATAAAATGCTGTGTCCACATAGCTTATTAAATTTGATTACGAATGTGTTGCTTCCCTTTAATTGCGTTCTCCCTTCTTTCTATGAAATCTGATCAAGTACTGCATTGGAACTTAATGAACAAAAAGGAAAGCAATTTGCTGAAATTGAACAAAAATCAATTAAGCAAAATTATAACACAACCAGGGGAAGCAAGAGTGAAGGTGGTTGTTATGTGAGCAATAAAGAAAGAAATGACAGAACGAGAGGGAATGAAACAAAGAGACTGTACCAGAAAATAATCACATTTGTGTATAGAAAGACCAATTATTTTTCATACCAGTTCATATCACAGGTGGGTAACAGATTCTAAGAATTTACCAGCTTTGAATGCCTATGTCCCATTAATCAAATATGTGGATACTCTGGTTTCCTAAGTTTCCTGATACTGAATGATTTATGTGCCTTGGTCCTGCTTGATAGTACAGTCTATTACTATTAATAAACTAGCACAAGCTTGTTTGGATGAGTATATATATTAGTAATAGATGACTATAATCTTTTTTTTTTTTGCACCACATCTTACCTGAAGAAAAATGGTTTCTATATGCTTTGTATCATAAATCAAAATTTAGCCACATCCATCCTTGAATTAAAAAAAAAATCTCATATTTCCTGGGCACGAGGCTGGATTAACTCTTCTGGGGGCTCAGAGCTATTAGATTTTATCCCCCTCCTCCAGGCTCAGGAGTGGGGTCAAAAATGAGGAGCTTCAGATAGGGATGTGAAATTTCAATTAATTGGCTAATCAAATCATTGATACAATTTGCATCTAGTCGATAAGGGCTAGATAAGGGCACCTCCACCTTTGAAGTGTAGCAACAACCTCAGGGCTGTTGCTACATTTTGAAGGTGAAAGCGCTGCGGAGAGAATGGGGCCAGCAGGGGACTCAAGCAATCCCCTGCTGGCCCCGTGCTCCCCTTGGTGTTTCAAAGCAGCAGTGACCCCAGGCTCCATATGGCGCTGCCACTTTGAAATGCCGCAAGGAGCCTGGAGTCAGGCTCCACACAGAATTTCAAAGCAGCAGCGCCATATGGAGCCCAGGGTGAACAGGAGACTCCTAGCTGGCCCCAGGTTGAACGCGACATTTCAAAGCGTCAGACCCCGGGCTCCACACAGTGCTGCTGCTTCGAAATGCCACAAACAGCCCAGGTGAACT